AACGTACCTTGGCGTCGAGCACCTCGCCGATGTCGTACCCGAGACCATTCATCTTGGCTTTTCGAGGTGTCCTCCGAGTCGCCCCGCACTCGCGACTTTGCCGACCCTCTCTTCCGCCTCCCCACTTCCGGTCTCGGTGGCCCCGACCGGCGATCGGCGTTTCCTCTTCCCAGGACCCGGGAACAGTCTCTCAAAACGCTTTCCCGAAATGACCCATCGGGAATCGCGACATCCCGAGATCGGTATCACGACGCTTCGCCGATTTCCCCCAGTTCCCTCGAGTTCCTTTTCGTCCCCGACCCCGCAGCCTGTCGAGTAATGATAATTTCCCTTTTATCAAGATTTCCCGAAATTTCTCGACGATACAACGCCGACCGAGGACTCTCCCTCCCGGCCCTTTCCTCGAGATCCGCGAGGTCCTCGGCGGCGGAAGTGGGTGGTGAATCGAGGGCGTTCTCGGTATCATTTACCCCTCGAATTCATGGCCCCCTTTAAATCTGCGAGCCAGACCCACCCCGGAGTTTTGCGACCGGCTTGTCGAGGCATGAAGAGCACATTGACGAATTCACCGGAAACCGGGTGGACCGTCGAAAAGATTCGACTCGCGCATGCGCGCCTTTCGCGGGGAGAGCACGTGGTGGTGGCGCAACCGCGCGAAATCTGCGCGGAGATTTCCCCAATTACGACCGAGAGGACTCTGAAATTTGCGAGTTTCGAGAAAGGGAGTACCGTTGCCACCGTGAATCCCCACGGAAGAAACTCGTCCATGTTGCTCGGTCGGAAATTAGTTCTGCTTAAAATGGCGCGGTAATCGACCGCGCGACGTCGACCGACAGCTTCGCGATTTTCCCGGAGCCTTGGAACATCCTCGGGGAAACCATTTCCCTCGACTTCGCCGAAAGATCGGCGCTATTTGGAGAACGGGGTCGAGACTTTGGCCGATAATTCCGCCTAGTTTAGGGGATATTTTCGAGCCGTGGGGTAAAAACGCCCCGCCATGCTCGCGGGCGGTCTTCGACGGTAATTCCCTTGCGTTCGATTTTTCTTTTTCCCTTACTTTTTTTCGGGGTTTAATTCGGTTAATTTAGATCAAATTTCCAGGGTTCCGACCGACTGGAGGTCGCGACTCTCCTGATCGCGCGTCGAGGTCGTCGGCGAGCGCGAATCGCGATGCGCGCACAAGTCCCTACTGTTCGACCCTACGGTCTTTCTCGCGCGCGATCTCGTAAAAGAGATACGGCGGTTCCTTCTAAACGTCATTTCCTCGGAATAGCTGAAAACGCCGATAGCGCGATCCTCGGTGAAAGCCCAGTCCCGGTTCCTCGGCTCGAGCTCGTAAATCTCGGAATTGTCGGCGAGCGGCGGAGCCGAAGGTCTCTCGGGAACCGGCGCGGGATTTCGGTTTCCCCATGGGAATGCCATTTCTTATCCCCGGCGTTCCTCCGAAACTGGCGTCTCGGTCGATCCGGAACATCCTTTCGCGACATATTGGAGGTTAGAAGAGTAGGCGAGGAGCCAGCTGCGCGAAGTTGGTGGACGAAGAGTTGACGGCGATTGAAAAAGTGGGACGTGGTTAAGAAGACACGATTTTTCAGATAAATTCAATATACGCGAATATGGAGATTGGCAGGAAACAATGTTTATTTGAATTCTTTTGAGACATATTGGAGATTAGACGAGTAAGCGAGGAACCAGCTGTGCGAAATTTGTGGACGAAGAGTTGGCTGCGATTGGAAAAATGGAACTTGATTACGAAGCCACGATTTTTCAGATAGATTCAATATACGCGAATGTGGAGATTGACAGGAAACAATGTTTATTAGAATATTTCTTTTGAGACATATTGGAGGTTAAACGAGTAAGCGAAGAGCCAGCTGCGCGAAGTTGGTGAACGAAGAGTTGGCTGCGATTGAAAAACTGGGACGTGGTTACGAAGCCATGACTTTTTAAATAAATTCAGTATACGTGAATTTGAAGATTAGCAGGAAACAATGTTTATTAGAATTTTTCTTTTGAGACATATTGGACGTTAGACGAATAAGCGAGGAGCTAGCTGCGCGAAGTTGCTGGACGAAGAGTTGGCTGCGATTGAAAAAACTAGGACGTGGTAACGAAGCCACGATTTTTCAGATAAATTCAATATACGCGAATATGGAGATTGGCATTAGAATGTTTCTTTTGAGACATATTGGAGGTTAGAGGAGTAAGCGAGAAGCCAGCTGCGCGAAGTTGCTGGACGAAGAGTTGACGGCGATTGAAAAACTGGGACGTGGTTACAAAACCAAGACTTTTTACATAAATTCAACATATGCGAACATGGAGATTGGCAGGAAACAATGTTTATTAGAATGTTTCTTTTGAGACATATTGGAGGTTAAACACGTAAACGAGCAGCCAGCTGCGCGAAATTGGTAGATGAAGGGTTGTGTGCAACTGGAAAACCGGGACGCAGTTATGAAACCATGACTTTTTAGCGATAAATTAAATATACGCGAATACGAAGATTGGCCGAAAACCTTTCGAATTGTATTGCAGGTTAAACGTGCGAGCTAGAACTCAGCTGCGCGAAGTTGGCGAAAAACTGGGAGCCGGTCGATGAAGAATGGGTGGAGATTGGAAAACCAGGACGCGGTTACGAAACCATGTCTTTTTGGTAAGAAATTAAATATACGGCGGCAGAAAACCATACCGCCTGTTGTAAACGTCCTTTCTAAGTGTATCGCACGTTAGCGTGCAAACTAGGAGCCAGCTACGCAAAGTGTGCAAAAAACTGGGAGTCGTTCGAGAAAGGGTGGATCTCAATTGGAAACCCGAGAAGACCGACAAACCATGCCTTTCTGATAACAAATGAAATATCCATGACTGCGGAAACCAGCAGGAAACGACAGCGCCGTCTTTCTCGGTACCGGGCGAAGATTTCGGGGAGCCAGGAGTTTTGTTTATACCCGGAGGTCGTCACTTTCTTCTCGGAAGGCGCACACGCTCGGAATTGAAAGCAAAGCTCACGATTCCACTCGAACTCGCCTTTGTCCGCGTCCTCCTTGCCGGATTCGAGGTTCTCCGTAAATTCCCTTGACCTCTCCAGCTGGCCAACATGACGTCTCGTTTCCGACCGATTTCCCAGAACCAACTGTTCGAATCTCCGCCGGTTATTGGCGCGCGCGTCAGTCGGCTCGATTCCCGCCGCGCGATCGGCATGCGGTTCCAACTGACTATTGCACCGGCCCGACATTTTCGCGCAACGATTTGCGACTCTCCTTACGATCGCCGGCCGACTTCGCGGGTAATCCTCGAAGTGGTATCTCGTAATACCTCGTAATCTCTCCTAATCTCGCGTAATAGTTCGAACCTAGGTACTCGGAAATAGCACGCTGCCCTAAATTCACCACCCTTAACCCCGCGACGTCGCGTCGGGGTTGTGCACGTGCGAGCGCAAATAAACATCGCAACCGCACCCGGGATCCGTCCACCCTCCGCTACTTCCCGATCTTTCCCTCGGGAAAGGACATCGCGACGGTCCGTCGCTCGCGCCGGCTTCGGCCGGTCTCCGCGAGGATCGGCACGTGATTTCGGCGCGCACCGGCCGACTCTCGGAAGGTGCGCGGGGCGGTGCGCAGTCGGCGCGCAGCGCTGCCGGCGCGTCCAGTCCGCCTCGAGGATCGTTACCGGGTTCCCTCGGTCTCGGCGATCGGATGTGCTGCGGTCGTTCGGCTCCTTGAGCACGTGGCACATGTCCGGGCGAGACGGATCGGAACCCCGAGCAGAGAACACGTAGGCAGCCGGCTTTCGAGCGCTCCGCGTCGCGACTGTGCCGGCTCGACTAAAAAACGATGCGATGACCTCATCACCAGGGCCGGCTACGAGCGCTCGCCGGAGAGTCGGCGAGAGCCGCTACTAGCCGGCCCGAAAACGTCGGCGAGCGCGAGCGCGAGTGGAGATCGAGGCCCAGGAGCCGCCGATCGCGCCGATCGACGCGCCGCGAGGAGGGGCCCCAGGCCTCGGGCCCCAATGCCGGGGGCCCCTCTCCGCGTCCACCCGGACCTGACGCATCGCGCGCACCCCGACGCGCGTCGGAAAAACGGTTCATATTGTAGGCTCCTGGAGGTCGACGATCAAATTTCGGGATTTTCAACACCCTGGCCCAGGGACCCTATTTTTGGACCCGTGCTATCAACTTTCATATACTAAATTAACTTTCGGATTCGACTTTCAAATCTTAATCCATTATGCGACTTCAAGTGAGGGTACATTTTTTTCATGCGATTCTGTTCATGTGCGAAGAAAATCCGAATGAACTCGAGGATCGGATCCGTAGGCTCTACCTATTGATTCTGAGCTATCCAGAGAATGCATTTTAGAAAGTACCCTGATACCGTATTCGATCATAAATCGAAAGTCACGTTAAGAGCAAGGAATTTCTTGTGAAAAGAGGATTTTTTATTTGATATTGTCAACGATATAAGGCGTGGGGTTGATTGATTGAAATTAATGTAAATTTCAAAGGATATTCGATTTTTTACACTTGGCTTCGTTGTGAATGGAGAAAGGATGTTTTAGGTACTGCGAAAAAATTGGAACGTTTGTCAGTTCTTTTGTATGAAGAAGGAGATCGAAAACGAAGCGTCGGGCTGCGGCGACTTGGTGTCGCCGCAACGTTTAACCTTTTCCGCGAGCCGATATGTCACGTAGGTGGCAACCTCGTTCTTTCTCGTTGAGGAAGACGGAGAAAGGCCGAGGGAAATGCCGTGTCTCTGGAGACCTTTCTACCGCCAAATATGGACGAGATTTCCAAACACAGGTTGGGATAGTTTCGCAGAATGTGATTTGTAAAGTACTCCCTATTTAATGCTCGCTGCCAGTTTGTTAGAAAGGGAAAAATGGAAAAGGATCTTTGACTTTTTATATTTGTCGATCTATTGAAATCGGTAAATCAAACATGGCGCCACGGTCATCGTGCCGAGTCCCGAGGATACCCGAAACTTGCCGACGTCTACCGAAGGTGAAGCTGTCAGCATGCACCGTTTCACAATGTTTATAAATTGGTTTTATATCGTTACAGTATACTAAACGGCAGTTTATGCCTCGTATTGTTTATTGTATCGTTATTTACAGAACTTTTGTACTGTGAGTAGTGAAAAGAGAAGCTAAAGTCGTTTATGATTAACTTGAAGAATTTGAGGTTAAGTCTCTGTGAGTATACTTGTAATGTTAGAAATATTCCTATTTCAATAATATTTTTCTTCAATACTGTAGTGTTTTTGCCACGATGGTTGGATACAGTGATAGTTGATATGATGTACTATACCGATATAATGTTTTTCTGTTGCAGTACCAAATTAACGCATAGCTGTTATTAAGCATGGCTTCTGAAAAAAGAAAGGAAGCAGGGCTTACTTCGGGCACAAATGTTAGGATAAAGTTGGAACCCGGTACATCAGCTGTTTCTGCTGCAATGATACGTAATATTAAGATGGAACCTGGACTCCCTGCATCTACGACCCGGCTGACTTCCTTCCGAGTTCCGCGAGACCTTACTTTAGGAGCAAATATTAAGACTGAGAAGCCTAAGAAAGTGTACACTCCAAATCTTAATGTTCAAAGGAATAAAAAGAAGGAGTAAGTCTTTATAGTACTTTGAAATTTTAAGGAAGATATTAATATCTTAATCGTTATCTTAGATTAATTTTTGAGAATGTTATAAAATGTAGCTGTCCATTTTTTAGAGAAGAAACACCTGTTAAATCCAATGCAGTCAGAGGTCAAGGTCGGGGGCGACCCGATCGGGGCAGAGGTCGTAATAAAGGACAAAATAATTTAGTCCAGGTATTGAACTAAGTGAGTCTTCAAATTAATATCAGCATAGAAACTATAATTTACCCTTTCGCATTTTAGTCTACAGGAGTTTTCTCAGAAGGTATCATGGAGACGTCTCGTGATAGACGATCACGTCAAGGTGGTGGCACTAGAAGCAGCGACGATAGGAAAGAAGCACAAACTATGTTGGAAAAACCAAAATTAAATTTAGATCACAATATTGATAAAGCCGATGAAGAAGAAAAACTAAAAATGATACTACGAGATGACTTCATTGATAACGATGCAGATTTGGAGGTGGATAATGCGCCAGTTATGCTGCCTATGTTCACCGAGGGTGAATATGATTCAAACACATTTCAAATTTAGTATATATTCAAATGCAAGTATTTCATAAATAATTGAACTTCACAGGAAAACTATACAAAGACATAATTAAGGCAGAACCTGAAACCGATGATGAAAGCGAAGGGAAATCAAAACCTTCGATTCTGGAAAAGAAGAGAGGTAAACAATGCATTTATGAAATTTGTAAATCTGATTCTCATTTGCAAACATCCCATAACAGGATGCCCTAAATTGGTATATTTTTTATCGTTTAGTCAAAGAAGAGAAACATAAAATCCACCCCTTCCAAAATGCAGATGAGAAGAAAGTGGTAGACAGCATTCCTCAAGTAATCAGTAATAAGTCAAGCAACTACATTCTGATACAGGTATAATCTAAAGTAATATCATAGCAAGAATATTTTATTTTTAATACTTTTTCTATTCCAGTTTCCAGATTGCTTGCCAGGGTTGAGAGCAGATTCCGATTCCAATGACGTTCGATCAAAAACAGCCACCAGTTCAAATGGAGAAGCCGAAAGCGAGAATAAACCAAAGGGTGATTATTGCACCTTGAACAGTTTGAAAGCAGGCGTCCTAGGTAAATTACAGATTTTGAGATCCGGAAAGGCACGTTTAGTTCTTGGCGACAATAACCTACTCGTTGACCTCGGCTCCAGAGTTAGTTTTCGTCAGGTAAGACTAAAGACGTATTATAACCTTAATGATTTAAATTGAATTGAATTGAATTTTTTCCCCTTATATTGCAGGATGTAATTGCAACCAAAGTAGACACTGAAACGGCATCTGGTGAAATGATTAATCTCGGGCCCATAAGCAACACATTTATATGTTCCCCGGATTGGGAAACCATGTTAGCTAATCTGTAAAAACTATACAATATGAATTTTTTTAAAATATATTGTTAAATCTTCTTTCAATTGTATTCAATACATCGTTTTAAACAGCGTTGACTCTCTTATTTCTTAAACAGCTCTTTGAAATCATGAATTATCTTTTTTACACTACGTTTTATATTTTTTTTTTAATTATATGTTCACACTGATAATTGGCTGGTAGTTATCACGTGGGAAATCTGAGGAAGTAAAAATGTATCTCTCAAATGCATATATATTTCCTTAGTATATCTAGTGGTCTATCGAGAAACACACTGCAGTACATACAAACTAAATACAAATCGCAAACCAAAGAGAGGACTGTTATCATTGCGAAACACGCAGGTTCGTTTACCAGTATCCAAATGTACAAAACAGTCGGTAAACAGAATAGAACTATGTCGTCCTAAATTTCAACTCCCGTTCGCACGACGAAGCAGTTCGTCTTAGGATACCAACGAGCGAGGTATATTCGCGTCAAACAATCCCAGTAGAATCGTCCATGCGAAGGCGCTATTTCCACTTTAAATATAGTTTATATCACGCATCAAGACGCGCCTTCTGTCTTATCCGATATAGAAACTGCAAGGTTCCTTGTCAACGCAAGAAATCAACTGCTGCGAGTTCAAAGTAGAAAAAGGGAGAGTAAAGGTTCATACTTCACGGAGAAGAGGTGCGGTATATATCGCCTAACGGAGCTAAATAGTGTAGGTTTATAATTGACCCGTAACAGGGGCAATTCCGGTCATACAGTCATTACGCTGTAGTCTTCCTTAAAATGATTAAACACCAGCGGTACCGCTCCCGCAGCGTACAGTTCCTGCGAATGCATATTCGCAGATTCACAAAAGGAAGGAAGAATTACATAAAATTAAAAGCCTCAGTCGCTTCTCTCGATGCTGTGTCCCTTTTTCATTGATTTAAGTGCCTTCTCCCGAAGCTTCTTTTCTAGCTCCTCGGTATTGCCCTCGCTCGCGTCAGACTCCTCTGATTCGGCTACCTTCTTCTTCTTGTGCTTCCTATGCTTTTTGTGTTTCTTGTGTTTCTTGTGTTTCTTCTCCTTCTTCTTTTTCTTTTCCTCCACTTCGCTCTCCTGCTAAACGTTGCATTTTTTCATATTAACAACGCTGCGTCAGTATTTCAAATTGTTAAAGAACACCAATCGATAGACTCACCTCTGATTCGCTGGTGCTGGTCTTTGTTCTCTTCTTGCGTTTCTTCTTCACCTTTTCCTCGTCACTGCTCTCTTCAACTTTCTTCTTCTTTTTGGTATCTTTTTCGACAACTTCGTCATCTTCCGAGCTGGAATCTCGTTTAGACTTCTTTGCCTTGGATCTACCCTCATCGTCGCTGGTCGACTCTTTCCTGGACTTCCTGGATTTCGATCTATCGTCATCGGACGAACTGTCTCGTCGCTTTCGAGACTTTTTCGGTTGTTCGTCGTCAGAACTCGAGTCCTTCTTCGACTTCCTTGATCTCGACTTCTCATCGTCCTTACTACTGACTTTCTTCGGTTTCTCGTCTTCCCCTGAGGAAGAATCCTTCCTAGACCGTTTGGATTTTCTCGTTTCATCGTCTGCATCCTTTTTAGAACGTTTCCTAGTTTCAGACTCTGCGTCCCGTTTCTTTACCTCCTTCCTGTCCTTCCCTCGATCCTCCGCTGCACCTAGTAAAATAGCGTGAATCGCTGAAGCAATTACTGATAATTATAACTAACCGATTCTAACGTTACTTGGATTCGATATCCTTAATTTTGGAACATAAATATAATATTCCTCGAAGGAAAACTTACCAGCGCGACTGGAATCTCTGTTTCGCTTACTTTTCTCTGAATGTTTCTTGTCATCCTCAGAATCCGAGGAGGATCCATTTTTGCTCCTGTCCGATTTATCATCGTCACTGGAGGCTTTCCTAGACTTCCGTGATTTCTCAACCTTCTTCGGCTTCCTTTTACCTATTGAATAAGAACTAGATATATTTATTGTAACACTAGGAGTCAGGAGCCAGTTATCTACTGAAATAGAAAATACTGCCGATCTGCCGATTCTACGTCATACAAAATACATATAAGATCAATAACCTTCGCTTTCACTTTCTTCAGAGTCCGAAGATCCATCTCTCCTCTCCTTCTTCATTTTCTTCACCTCTTCTGCGGTCGGTTTCTTCTTTGACATCACGGCCTCGACCATCTTCTGAGCCGGTTTCTTCTCTTCAATCGAAGGCTTAGTCGGCTTCGCCGATCTCTCGTCTTTCTTCAATGGGAACGCTTCAGCTGTAGCTACAATTGCTTCTGCAGGTTTCGGCGAAGGCTCCTCCTTACTATCCCTTAGAAAATAAAAGAAAAAATATCAACATTTTTCTTCCGGTACAACGAAGTCCTCACAATTTTAGACCCAACAACCAGGATGCCTACTTTTGCAATGGTGGCTGCTTGGCTTTAGCTGCGGCAACGATGTCTTCGGTCTTCTTGAAGGGCGAAGGAGTACGCGACAGACTCTTCGAGAACTGAAACGTAAGTACAAGTTTCTTACCACTCAAGAAGAAAAAAAGGCGTGAAAGTGAATAAAAACACATATAAACCGAAATATATAAAAGAACGTCCTCGTAAACTGGAAAATTCATTGAAAACAGAAAATACCCTATGTCTAGCAGCAGGTAAAGCAGTAGGCGGAAGCTTCTTCGGAGACGCCGAAACGGTCTCAACCTTTTTGGCAATGGATGGCTCGGCCTTCTTCGTCTCCTTCTCGACTTGACGCTTGGCAGCCTCTTCCTTGGCGAGTCTTTCCCGTTCTCTCCTCTTTGCCTCTTCAGCGTGTTCCCGGTCTCGCTTCTCCTGAGCTGCCTTAAGTTCCGCCGATTTCCTGAAAATAAAGATACTCAATGAACCCACAGCTGAAATATTAATTTGAATTTATATTAAGAAACGAAAGAACATGTGCCTACATGCTGGAATCAAGAATTAAAAACCTTAATTCCAGAGAGCAAAGCTTCACCACTCACCTGGGCGAAGACTCCTCGTCGCTGGAAGAACTACTCTCGCTACTCTCCGAGCTGCTCGACTTGGACCTCCCATTCCGCAATTCCTTCCGCGCGGTCGAGTCGCCCGGCCGCTTGGTCTTTTCTTCGGTGGCGGTTCTCTTGTCTCTGGGTTTGTCCTTCTGGTCTCTGGTCCTGTCGTCGCGGTTCGCGTCAACGGAGGATCGCTCCTTGGACCGCGACCGGCGATCCTTATCGCGGCGATCTCTGGAACGATCCCGCCTGCTCGATCGGTCGCGGGACGACGATCGATCGTACCTGTGCGACCTGTCGGGGGAGCGTCTGCTGTCCCGGCGATCGGGCGACCTCCGACGATCGCGTCTCTCGGAGGACCTTCGCCTGCGATCGAGCGATCTTCTCCTGCGCCGGTCGCCAGGGCTCGGTGATCTGCGCCGGTACCTCGAGGGCGGACTTCTCCGCGGAGGACTCCTGCTCCCACAATAGATAACGATTACGATAACGATTGTATTACAAAAATTCGATAGGTGACGTTGAAGGAGGATACTCGATGCAGGTGCTTCTCAATACCTTCGTCTGCTGGGTGCTCTGCGCACAGAAGGTGGCCGCATCCCGCGACTACCGCCGTATCTGTCCATCCTCTCCCTCTCGCGTTCCCGCTCTCGCTCCCGATCTCTCCTCCTGTCCCGCTCCCTGTCCAAGGACGATCGCCTGAAATGTTAACGCATCGATCACTTTTCCAGTTGTTAAGGAAAGCTCTTGGGCGACTTCCCGTATTCCATAGAAAGTGATTAAACTCTTTTTGCAAACACAAGAAACGATCCTTTTCTTTATCCCTGCCAGTGATAAAATGCAATTCGCTAGGTCCTTCGCACCTTCTGTTCCTGTCACGAGATCGGTCTCGGTCCCGGTCCTTGGACCTGTCCCGATCCTTTCTGGGAGAGGGACTGCGCCTCTTGGGAGCAGACTTTCTCTCCCTGCTGGAGTCGCTGTCGCTTCCGCTGTCGTCCTTGTTCGTCTTCCGGTAGGATCTCTTCGCCTGGACCCCGTCCTTCTTTTTCCTGATCTCGAAGTCACCCTTATCCTTCCCACCCTTGTCGTCGTCCGTGTCCGAGGAGCTGCTCGTGCTGGCGTCGCGCTTCCTGCCCGAGTCCGCGTCGTCCTTCCTTTTCTCTGGCGACTTGGATCTCGATTTCGAGGATCCCGAATCGCTGCTGTCGGACCTCGATTTCCTCCTGTCGGCGCTCTTTGACCTGGACTTCTTCGAGCGACTGGGGCTCTTGGAACGTGATTTCCTCGACCTCGGTGATCTCGACTTGCTTCTTCTTGCTTTTGAACGATCCGGCGATCTGGACTTGGATCTCCTTGACTTGGACTTAGAGCGCGATCTTTTGGATCGAGATTTTGAGCGAGACCTCCTCGAACCAGACTTCGAGCCCGGGGATCGGGATCTCCGCGGCTTCGAAGGCGACTTCGATCTCGACTTCCTAGAGTGGCTCGACGGTGACTTCGAACGCGACTTTTTCACGGTTTTGTCTGCCGATTCGGGGCTCGGTGAGCGATTGTTCTTCTTTTTACCATCCGCTATACTCATTAGCTTCGCTTGAAGTCTAGATATCGCCACGGCTGCTTCCCTGTTTATTAAAAATACACTAAATTCCCCAACGAATTCCTCATGTATTTATGCCTTTTTATGCATCATGTTTCTTTTTCTTTTCTCTTTTGATGGACGTGCACTACGTAGAAAATCGGAGTAAAATCTATTTTACACTTACGGCTTCGTCTTAATTGGCATCAGCGGAATCGCATTCTCGGGCTGGGGCGAATCCTCGCGTTCAACCTTGACCTCCGGCATCTCCTTCCCGTTGTCCTTTGCCGTTGAAGTCGCCGTTGTTAACTTGCTCGGAGACTTCGAGGTGGATTTCCGCTTACTGCGACTGGATCGATCGCGATCCCTATGCCGGTCTCTGGACCTGCTTCTCTTACTTCTGCAAGTAATTATTGCCGGTTAATTGTATTATCGTGTGCAATTTAATACAATAGTTAACTGATAAATTATTAATATTATGCTAATTTAAATTTATATAGAGGTATACCTGTCCCTATCGCGGTCTCTACTCCGATCCCTTCTATGCTCTTTCGATGAACTACGTTCCTTCTCCTCTTTTTTCAGCTTGACCTCGGCATCATCCTTTTCTTTCTCCCTCTCCTTTTCCTTTTCTTTTTCCGCTAAGGACGCTTGGAGTTTCTCTTGCTCTTCCTATAACGGATGGAGAATTATTTTAAAAAGCCTTTTGCTAATTCCACTATTCCTTCTCATAAAATCAACAAGCAACAAGGTGATTGAAAATCACGACAGACAAGTCAGACATTTTGTGGAAGATCGCCAAACAGTTTTTCATCTGTCTTAGGACACGCGGCACTGTTCACGTTTGTCGCGACAGACAGCACTCGGTGATTTCATAAAATTGTATTAGAAAGGGAAAAATAAGTAAGGGTTTTTACCAGGCGTTTCTTGATTTGATCCTTCTTCTGCTGCAAGAAGGCTTCGGGTATACCCGTGACACTCTCTTGTGCCGAGACGAGGAGGTCCCACAATTCCCCCATGAAAGAACGAGCATTGCGGCCATTTAGAAACCCTGTCAGATTAATCTGCATCTTTCGGGGATCGGGAAACTGTAAAACACAGGATACCTTAGTATTAGCCTAAATGACGTGATTCTCTCCCGTTGAATGATCAGCGATTACAGAGGTGTTGCACCTGAGCGCGTACGACATTCTTAACGACTCGTTCAGCCGTCTCTTAAGCTATGGCTAAACTGCTTTTCCCCCTCGAAATAGTAGATTTGCTTATCGAATTGCTAGCTCTATCTTACCACCAGTTTCGCCAGCTACAGCAGACCCAGCTGCGAAAAGTGTAATACTGCGAGATTAAGGTTTTCCACATTGGAGAGATAATTCAACTCGGGAGATGCATACATAAACAACTGGGGAAGTACATGGAGAACATTAACGCGAACCTAAAGAAATACCACGTCAAAAGTGCTAGAAGGTAAGAGAACAGAAGTATTAATATCAACAGTAGTTCACTGGAATGGCTGAAAAAACCAAAAGATATTAATGTCAAGCAAAGAAACACCAAATCACCAACCTGTTACTCAGACATAGTGTGTCTGTCAAACCGTGCTGAATATACCCATGGTCGATGTATCCGCTGTCAGCTTCGATGCTCCGGTTCTCCTGTTGTTGAAACAGCATCTTCGAGTTGCCAATTGCCTTTGCCGATTGAGAATGCTGCTGGAGTGAATGTAGCTATCATGTCCTCAGCACCAGAACGCAGTGCTCCAACGATGGAAGAACTTCCTCTTGGAAACGGTGATTTCTCCTTCAGAGCATCCACAGCTTGGAAGATGTCTTCGATGAGCAGAAGACTCGAAGAATGCTGCATCAGCACCGATGACTCCCACTGTAGATAAAGCTCCGATGACGTAGCCACCAACTTCCAACGTTGGCTAAGCTCCGCTGACGTGGATGGAGTACAGCATGCAGCATATAAGCACCGCTGACGTAGACAGCAACAACGACGACAGGATGTCCAAAGGATGTCAAATCAATCAGACAAAATGCCTGGGAAGGCGAGCCGTCAAAGGCTGAAGTTGCTTCCGGTAACCTCCGGAAGCAGATGATCCGATGAGACACCGATGGTGTCATCTCAGCAACGGCAAGTCGCCCCTGCAGAGACTCAGGAACCAGCAAATGAGCTGCAGTAGACTGCACTGCGCTCGGCAGCGGTGGTGTGACAACAGCCAGCGAAGACAGGATTCCTTGGCTGGCGTTCGCCGATGCTACTGCTGGTGGCTGATAGAAAGGCAGCCAATCGGATGCAGAGAGGAGCACATCCGAATGCCGTTTGGACTAAAGGGTTGAGCCCCACCAATGGTCTCTACTTATGGCAACGGGGAATTCAAAGATACGTTGTAAGAAAATAGCTTATGCTTTTGATGTTCTTAGCAGATTCAGCTACCAACTTTCTCTTATTAGAGAAACTGATCTTACTCGGAGGAAGATGTGTACAGGTCGAGAGTGAGAATTGGAATAGCACAGGAGCAAGATGCTTGCGATCGAAGAACATGGAAGTAACAGGGCGAGAAAGCTAAGTCTTGCCCTGATTACTTTGACAGACCCAAATGCTGGGCAATATATAAACTTTGCTCACAACCTCTTTTAAGGTAGACTTAAGAGAGGCTTTGCGTTGAATTAACACATCGCTTTATCCAACTCCTACGATGAGGGGAAAAAGCTGAGTGAATATCCATGATCATAGAATATAGAAGTAACAAAGTGAAAGAATTCCATTTTTGACTTCATTACTCTAAGAAATTTGAGTAGTAAATGAAATTGTACAAATCTGGTTTGTAGTTTCAAAAATAATGTATGGGTTAGGAAGGAAATTTTTAAGTTCTTAGAAATCCTTGTCAACTGAATGTAAAGCAGATTTTAAACAGATATGCAATTTGTTCAATTCATCTTAAGAAAAAAAGAACGAAAAGAAAGTGAACCAATCTATACCTTATAAACTCTTACATCAAAGAATACAAATAAATCTTTAAAAACCTATCCATATTTTAAATGAACTGCTGTCTTTATGTGCTTAGGAATGACTTTGCACTGAAACAATATACCACTTTATTCAGCTCCTATGATGAGGGGAAAAAGCCGAGCAAACGCATACGATTGATCTTATCTATCGCCGCCGAGGAACTTAACTCTAGTGAAATCGAACGTGCTAAAGCAATTGATAATCAAATCAACTTTCTTACCTTTTCTTCCAGTTGATTATAGACAAACTCTACCACAACGTCGTCTTCCATACCAAGAAACTGGGTGATCTTCGTTGTAATCCATGGTTTAAGAACATCAAGCTTAACCTTACTCATATCAACCTAAAAGATCATTGAAAACAATATTAAATCACCTGTCAATAATTCTCTTGCCATAATGTAAATGTAATAAATTACTTTTTGAGTAAGCGAGTCTCCGAATTTCATCTGCTTGAGCAGTTTCTTCTCCTTATCGCTGAACCGAGTGTCCTGCGAGGCAGTAGTCCCCTAAAATAGAAAAATTAAAAATTATCGAAAAAGTCCAATAAAATAACCCAATAAATAGGATGCCTAAAAAATATTCAAGAAAGAAATCAAGATTCATACCGTGTACATCATCTTGGCAAGCTTCTAATGACGATTCGGTTGACCCCAAGATATCGTTGGTACGTGGATCTCAACTCACGGCGAGTGCCCGGAGTCTCAGGAATCCTCCAGCTAAGCAAAACTTGTATTCGCCGAGAACGGAGGAAGTGTGCAAATACACGAATCTTCGTTATTTCAGAAATGCAACGGCGGAAGCGTTCGTCGGTGAGAAAAGTTCTCACGCGAAACGATCTCGACGAAACATGGACGCGCGACGATGAATCAATCACCCAACATGGCGGAATCGAGCCGAAAATGGCGGACGACTTCGCATATCGTATTTCCGTTGGAACCTAATCTGCGATACTGAGCACCCTGGTGGCAGGGATGTGTAAATATAATTTTCTAGGTAATTTACGCATGCTCTCACAGTAAATTACTAGGCAGTTTACATCATGAGTTTTGTACGTGATGTAAATTACGTGAAAACAAGACTTTACATATCTCGTGATGCAAGAAATTTGATAGCTGTGTCGCCTGGGCCTGGCTATTTTCATCTTATCTCTGGTAGCTCCAAATAGTTTTATCCTCCTCGCGTCTTCGCCAGAAATGCGTTGCGCAGCCACTGGGAGGTAACAGGTGACAAGTGCGTTAGTTGTCCGCACCCTCCATGGGGGGCAGCACAGAACGCGATCGAGCAAGCCTGCCCGTGAGCAATCTCCTAACTCATCTCTGTACTCTAAGGCAATGAATTTGAAAGTATTTTGTTGACTGTTGTTGACCGTTTGATGTTCCTGTCAGTTATTTATGATAAATAATATCTGGTCCACAGGTTGCAGTTCCCCACGCAATGCTTTTTATTTATATGTAGGACTTGTCCTCGTCTTTATGTTGCCGTATTTATCAATGGATCGGTTCATGCTCGAAATTTACTCTAAAGAATTTGCAGAATTTAGGAAACTAATTTTCTTGATAACGCAACGTTCTTCATGATAAAATGCGCCTACAGTTTGCTCTTCTATAAGGAAACAAGGTAAGGAACAGATTTTAATCTCTCTTGAGTCTAAATTAACGTTTTCTCTTTTTATCTTAATGATTTATCAATAAAATTGGGCTTGGCCGCCTACATAACCTCAATACCACTCACAAATTAAATCTCTGTTAAAAGTTTATCGGTGTACGCGGACGTATTAGTCATTTCTAATATGTTTAATACCTTGTGTTTTAATCGTATTTGTTACTTAAATATTATATATTAGTATGTACCAGTGCAATGTATGCAATATCTATATGTGTGTTATTCAGAGTTTAATGAGTGAATTTTTTCAGAATATTTTATACTATACTATTATGGCTAATCAGTCGTACGTGTCTTGTATTAAAATCAATGGTGTGCCCATTCTTCCACCTTTGGTATGCATTTTATAATTATTTGTTACCATTAATATTATTTATGGAACAATGTAATTTTAAATACCTTTTGTCATTAGTTGGAGTCAAAACAATGTAAATAAAACTATTTACTAATTTATAGATGACTGATAATATTAGAGCAGAGATGAACTACTACAAACAATTAGCGTTAGCAGTGGAAGAAAAGTTGAAAATATTGCAAAATACTAGGCCAATTGCACCATTAGAACATGAACAATCAGAAGAAAACATTCAAGACAAAACATCCAAGACAATATCCTGCGAATCCACGACGTATGATTCGTTAAATTCAGAAGTTGAAAGTCCGTCCTTTGACAGCACAACAAATACGAAAAGTATAATTGATATCCCAACGAGAGAAAAGGAATTACTCATTAAGAGTAACTCTGAAGACAGACCTACTAATGCAACAGAACTTGTAATAGAAAAGATGGTACAACAGCAAAAATTTGTTTCAGATGATGAAAATCATTATCAAACAGGATCACAATTAGGCCGTTGTGCGAGTGTCGATACAACTACTGGTAGCACAGATTTAAATCAATATCTAAATGAATCGACATCGACTAGGTCCACTACATCTGAAACTACTCCAGAAACTTGGAAACCTCAAGTGCCTAAAACATTGGACATTGTTCCAATTGTTGTAGACTGCCCTATTTTGGAGTCAAATGGAAATCAATCAGACTGTAGCAAAAAACTAACGCTGGGAAAGTGTGGTCCTATTGATGAAACACCAAAGTTAATACGTCAAGGATCATATGTATTAGAAACACCGAGTCCAGTACTTCTGGCTCACATGCAATCAGAATTGGTTGACTCAAATTATGTACCCTCCACCACAATTGGAGCCGGGACAAAAAGAAAAGAATGGAACATCACTCAAGCAAAGACTGATTGGGAGCTTAGGAACAAAGAACTTGTCATGCCACGGACTAACAGGGCTATGTCTGAATCTAGTTCAAGAAGAAGTATAGGGTCATCCAATGGTCACAGAGGATACAAATCAATGACTTACTCGAGAAAGGTATCATTAGGATCTCGTCATAATGCAAAATCCGTGGACTGTTTACAAGCTATACTTGCTAAGGAGTGTGTTTCCAGACATGCTAATAATAGAGAGTATAGTCATAATGAGAGATGTGATTCAAATGCGAATAGTTTTCCAAAATGTTATGGAATGCCAAGGTGGAAAAGCAACAGGAATGTGTCGATATTAAACCTAGCAAATAAATTAGGAGGATCGCTAGGTAGTCTTGACAATGTTGGAACTCAAAATTATAGGTGCATCGAGAGTAGGAATGGTGATGGTATTTCTCCCAATGGGAATCTCGTTTGGGACGAACCAAAGAATGTACAACAAATCTCACAGCAAGCACAAAAACCAGCGATGTCCGAAAAAATTCTTAAAGTCTTCCGGGAGATTCGTGGCACTCACGAGAGTCAAATGATGGAGCTTATGGCCCGACAACGAAAGGAACAAAGTAATATGCAATTGGAATTTGAGAAGCAACAAATATTACTGCTGGATCGAATTAAAAAAACTTTTCCAGAAATTTCTATAGCTGCATTGGTAGATAGTATCACAGATGATATTATAAAGAAGTCTACTCCTTCAAATGGAAAGACTTCTGTTGGTATTAGCCCAAATGATTTACCAAGTCAGATTGAACCATCTAACGATTCACTGCCAAATTCGAGAATTTCAAGTGAGCCATGGTGCCTAAATCCCAATGACCGTTCTGACTTGAAGTGTCCGTTAAATTATATTTATCCAGTGTGCAGTCCCAATCGAATAGAAGCATGTAAAAGTGTCAGTGATTACAACATTCGGAGCTGTGAAAGAGAAACTGCCATATCTGTGAATGAGCCAACGAAACAGACGGTTCAACGATACGACTCAGACGTTACTGCAATAGAAACGAAGAAAATTTGTACAACGGATCGTAGGCAGTCTAGCGTAAGCAGACAATTATTTCCTTTAGACTGTAGGACGATGCATGTTCCTGTGCTGGACAATTCCCTGTATTCCAACAAACACGTAAGAATCAATCAATAGTAGAATTAAGTGTGAGTATAAATGTTTCTAAAATAAAATTGACAGACAAAACAACTTTTCTTTCATTGTTTTAGATACATGCAGCTACTATAATAAATGCTTACGCTAGAGGGTACTTGGTGCGCAGAATGATGAAGACTGAAAAAGTTGTAACATTGAAGAATACTTTCCGAGAAACTCTACACTTTATGTTGAGACTTCATGTGGATGCGCCTCTTAACTTGCCTGAATATAATTTCCTTAAACGATTGAAATTGCAAGTAAGTTTCTCTTTTATTTTTATTAAAACTTGTGTGCTGCATGTTTTTTTAATAAATTTTAAAATTGAAGCGCATAATTAATTCAATAAGTAAGAAATTTCTTTAAAGAATAAATTTTGAAAGAATGACATGGACTGATTTAATTTTGTGATCAGTGTGATGCAGTCTCAATGAATATAGCTGAATTATTCAGCCAGAACTCTATGGAAAGAATGCAAATTATAGCCCAAGATCGTGAAATCAAGAAGTCTCGTGCAGAGCGCCCCAGTTCAGCCAGATCTTATTCCTTCGCCACTCAACGGACTCTTGCACGGAAGAAACTGAAGGAGTATGATTCTGAATAATATCATTAATCGCCTTTATCGTGTTTTCTAATCAACTTTTCTACCTCAAAGTGTTGAAATTGGACGTGTATATTTAATAAAGTATCTTATTTAATGAGCTACTAGTGATTTTTTGCACTGTTGTAGAATGTATACAGTGCAATGTTAAGTTAAAAAGTATGTTACACAATTTCAGTGCTTTTTTACCATTTGTTTATAAATATTACATGCTTTTTTTACTTATTTATTATAACAGAAATTTATAATTGCAGAATGGGACAAAGTCAAACATCGAATTGCAGTAGATCGAGCACCATGAGGACCAGATGTCAAACGTGGACTTCAAACATAAAGGAAAAACGCTCACCAAGTATTTTGTGTAAGTAATGCTTTTTAATGTTGATCATTATAATAATAACATTAGTACATATTTTGTATATATATTTAACTTTTAATATTGAACATTAGAAAAACTTATATTTACCTAAGCATGCAAATTATTTCTAATGTAATTTTATAGTGTTAATTGCACGTTTCTGTTCCAAATATCATTTACTAACAATTGACTAGACCAATGTAATGAGAAATTTAGCATGCACCATTAGAATTTCATCAAAATATAATTGTGCCTTACAGATCAGGGCATAAAACGCAGTACCAGTGCGGGAACTGTTCGTAAGCCATGGCGATAAAATGATGAATACATTTGTCAGTGCCTTCGTATTTTAATCTAAGTCAGTCGTTTGTACAAATTTTGACACATGCGTACTCCCACCTAGTGCCTAAAACATCGGGTTCTTTTGAGGCTTTATTTAAAAAATATTTAACATTATTTATTCCAAAATGCATGAATGCATCGCTGTGATACGTACATTTACATTCTTTGATATAATTATATTTAAGTTTTATTGTTCAATATGAATATGCAGCGTCGAAAATTGCCTCACTTCATTTTGTGTTGTGACCCTTAAAGGTGCTCCTGGAAATAATTTTAAAACTATTAACAAGTGATAGTAAATTGCCATGCAGATAAGGATTATAACTTAAGATACAAGTCATATCAAAGTTATTTGATATTTACATAAAATTGGTAACCTTTTTTTGATTTGTTAATTGTGGAAAATGCAGAAAGGTAACGATTTTTTTCACTTAATTCTTTTAACTACCTCTGTTAAGTTTTAGGCAATATTTGATATATCTTTTACACGTTTATTGGAAAACTCGCACTTAGGTAGTGTTACGGATGCTTTTTAGTTATGAATCAAATCGCCATAAATAACTTATTAGCAACCAAGTGTTATATACGTAAGGCAACATAGATAAATAATCAACGCCCTTATAGAAGTTGCATCTTCCAAATGTTAAATGTACTTTCCAACTCGTACTTTAAATCGGAAACTAAATGCTTGCAAATTAGCAATAATTAGATTAAAGTAAGGCTCAAAGAAATGCTTACAAATTATGCAATGTAAAATAGAGGCTGTCCAAATACTATGCCAAGTACCATTTGTAGTTGTAAGTACATACATGTATTTAATTTATATATAGTTTCATCTCTAACTCCCTTTAATCCTTTTATTTTAAAAATAGCATTTACCAACTATGGTTCGTACATATACCTGAAACTACTTTTGTGCAGTGCATAAAACAAATTTTAACATCGTTGCAGATATTGCAAATTCTCTGCAATTCATTGAAATTCAGTGAGGTTAAGTTACCCTGTGCATATTTTTAATGATCATGTTCAATTTTTCTTTTTGGACTTGATTACATTTGTTTAAATTAAATTTCCTACTCGTTTTAAACCATAAAAGATGTCGATTAAATGCGGGATCTATATAATTACCATGGACGTAAAAATATACAATATTTGAACATGAACTAAGCAGATATTGAGAGTTGAATACTGTCACGTCTGTTACTGAAGTCGAAGGAGGTAAAATTCTCGCCTTTACGTTTTGAAGGTGAACAAAGGTGAAAGAAACATCGTCGAGCGTTGCGTGACGTTTATTGCTGAATTGATAACGTGATGATTGGAGAAAATTTAGGATGAGTTTCGAAGCTCGATGCCAGGAAACAAATATTACTCTGACTGTTTAAATTCTTTCCAGGTAAGTAATTCATCATTGTGGCATTACAGTTTCACTCGGGGATCGATAATTATTCGGATTAAGTGAAAATAAAATGCATTACCCTAATGATGGAACCTAAATCATTTGAGAAAGTGTTGGCGAGACGCTGAAGTACGAGTGGAAAAGAAGCACGTGTTGAATTTAAGGTATCAACCGGCATATTTTCGGTTAGAAGTATGAGCTAAGTTTCTGAAAAGTACACAAATACGCTTTGGAAATGGTGAAATACACGGAAAAGTGAGAGTTTCTGCTGACACGAGAAAGGACTCCATAACTTTTATCGGATAACCTCAATATTGGGGCTGGATGGCGGATTGATCATCGACACGTGCAATTATCTTCGTAAGTTTTAACGTGAAGTGCAATAATTAACCCAAAAAGGTGATAATTGCGAGTGAACCTTGTGATAATACCGGCCAGAGCGGACCATACAATAAAAGACGAGCTGCAACAAATATGCAGGCGAACAAAGAAAACGAAGACCCTAGACCTAACACACAAGGCATCAAAAAGAAAAGAGCCATAATCACACAGGAGACGGACATAAAGGTTAAAAAAAAGCCAGCTATAAAAGGAGACGAACCAAAGACTGAAAGCAAAGACAATCTAGGAGAACACCTCAAACTACAAAGAGCGAACCAATACAAAGAAGGACACCACGGCCCGTTCCAAGTGAATATAGAAAAAAATGAAAACAACCAAGACGAAAACGACAAAAGCACATACACCATCGGAAAAAAATGTGCAATAAAATTCCCAGACTTAATGCACGGATCTTACGGCCTTAAAAAAACAGGAACAAATAAGTTTATTATATTCTTTAATGAGTATGAGACGGCGAACAAATTCAAAAACAGATTTAACAACTCACAAGTGTTCTACGACGAGGACTGGGTAACCTACATCCCTAATTTCAAAATCCTCAAAACAATGGTCCTCCATGGAATAGAAATGGAAGACATAACGATAGAAGAGATAAAAGAAAACCTCAGACCCCTACCGGGGGAAATGCAAGGTTGGTCTCCACCAAAAACAGTAGAGAGAATGACAAGATTAATAAAAACAGCAAACGGAGAGGTTAATAGATACAATACTAATATTTACAAAATTACCTTCGAAACGAAAAACATCCAAGACAAGTTAGTGCTTTGGAGTACCACCCTCCTTGTAAAACCATATATAGACAGAGTGAAAAGATGTACAACGTGCCAACGTTTCGGCCACCTCACATGCTTTTGCCGAAACAAAAAAACTATCTGCAACGTATGTGTAGAAAATGGACACATTGAAGAAAGCTGCCCACAAAGGGAAAACATAAATGAATACAAATGCATAAATTGTACAAGAAAAAACATGGAGTGGACGCAACACAAAGCGTCCGATTTTAGGTGCCCACTATACAAATTACAAAAAAAAAACAAAAAAAGTAATGGCAACACACGACGCTTCACCCAAAGAAGCCATTAACATCCTAGAACGTACAGGAGGAATACCACCACCTAAACCCCTGACAACTTACAGCAGTGCGGTAAAAGTAGATCTAAACACACTCATAATTAAGTATAAAGAACAAAAACAAAGAAGTTCCAATAAAAGAAGGAAGATTACTACAAAAAACAAACTCGACGAAATAAGTTAATACACGAACACAAACAACGATCCAACATACCAAAGCGACTAAGCAACCACTACGGGAATGGAAATTATCCCAGAAGACCAACAAATTCAAAACAGCACACAGGACTCTGAAGAAGTCATAATAAACCCAGAAACCACCGAACCCACATATCAAGAAGACACTCGAACTAATCAAAAGAGTAATCAAAGCTACCATACAAAAACTTGGCATTGATACATCTAGTGAAGACATTTTGCAACAACTGAACATTATACAAAATCAGGTGATAATCGACTTAGTGCAACAAGATAACACACACTACCAAACATAATCAACATATCCAACACTCAAGACTGGATTGCCAAACATACGTAACACACACTCACCACCAAACATAACCACCGTATACCACCTTCAACCCAGCCAACAGCCAACCATCACACAATAATTCCACAAACCCGAAAAATCAAACCGGTCTCACCATTTTACACTGGAACTGCAGGTCAGTAAAAAACAAATCCCACCAAATACCGCACATGATACAACAGCACAACGCCGATATCATATGCATATCAGAAACATTCCTAAAACCTACAGACAACTTTACACTCCCAAACTTCAACATTATATCAGAAGAACGTAATGACAGAACAGGAGACGGAATTATGGTACTCACACACAAAAAAATTAAATACACAAACCTAGAATCCAAAAACGCACAACTACTAAACCTAGCCAAACAGAACAAGAGCGAAATAATAACAATTAAAATCCAACTAGCAAACCTCAACCACATAAACCTAGTACTGGTATACAGCCCCCCCAGAACAACCAACAAACAGACAACCAACCAGTTCTGGGAAATCTTCTTCGATACAATCAGCAAATGGAAAAATGTAATAATAGTGGGTGACTTCAATGCAAAAGCCAAAACATGGGACAACAACTGCACACCAGATAAGGAGGGCAGGAAAATTGAAAAAGCCATAGACATGACTAACCTCATATGCATCAACGATTAGAGACATACATGGCAGTCAAATGACCTAAACCACCGTAGTATTCTAGACCTAACCTTCGCATCACCAAATATAGCAACCCTAGCTAACTGCGAAACAACATCGTACAACTACGACAGCGACCACTACCCGGTAAAAGTACAAATAAATGTGAAATGCAACGACTCCACTCCAATAAGACCCAAAATAAACACAAAAAAATCATCTTCAAAAACTTCAAGACAATATGCCAAGACAATATACAAAAAATCCAAACCAATGACTCTCCAGAATCAAATTACAAAGAAATAATTGATGCAACTAAAGCATCACTTAATACAGCAGGGGCTTTCACCACACAACATAGGAGAATAGAAACGAACCCAAATTACTGGTGGGATGATCAATGCAATAACATCATACAAGACAAGATTAACAAATTCAGAGAATTCATACGTAACCCTACAATAAAAAACCTCCAAGAATACAACGATGCAAAGAAAAAAGACCAACAAAGACTTAAAGCATATCAGAATATAAAAATTCAAGGACTTTTGTGCAAACCTGCACAAAAACACCGACACAAAAAAAATTTGGAACGTTATAAAAAACTTCAAAAACAAGGACAGCAAACCCCACCAACACGCAATAAGATACGAGCATAGAAATAGCCTTTGACAAAATAGCCCCTTAGAATAACACCATCCCGGACAATAAAGACCATATCCTAAACCAACAAATCAGACGTATACAGAACGTAACAGAATGTTTTCATCACAACATCTCACATACCGAATACCGAACAGCAGTAGCAACATTGAAACAAAAAGCGGCCCCGGGACCAGACCTCCTCACCGCCAAAATAATCCAAGCACTTCCAGATATTGCACACAACAAACTCAGAGAAATTTTTCAATCCATTATGCACAATTCGGCTTCCGAAAGAAAAAGGGATGCGAAGATGCTGTGGCATGCCTTGTAACCGACATAGCCTACAACAAAAACCGTAAACTAACCACTGGTGTAATATTTTTGGATATCACAGGCGCATACGACAACGTTGACATACTACTCCTATGCAAAGGTCTAACAAGAAAAGGACTTCCACATCTAATCTCCAAATGCATATATAACCTATACTACTATAGGGAGATACATGGTTACAACAACGGGACAAACCTAGGAACATGAATGCAACCAAAGGACTACCCCAAGGCTCTATCCTTAGCCCCATCCTATTCAATCTATATACATCCGAAATCGTAATCCACCTGGACAACAACACTCAATACATAATGTTTGCCGATGATATAGCGATATACCAGGCGCATAAAAACATAACACAACTAACAAAAAACCTAAATTGTGCATTGTCTAAAGTGAACAAATTTCTCAACAGCATAAAGCTCTCAATAGCACTCAACAAAACGAAAACATGCTTTTTCAACAAAAAGCAGGAAAGAAATCAGATGCAACACATGCAACCACGTATCACCCTAAACAATAACGACACTGAAGTGGTAGAACACTTCAAATACCTAGGAATACACCTCGACTCCAAACTAAAATGGGGAAGCCAAATAGAAGCAACGACAAACAAAACGAAAAAACTAATAAACGTATTGAAGGCAATTGCTGGCATAAAATGGGGGGCACACCCGCACTTAATGCTAACCGTTTACAAAGGACTAATACGATCAAACCTAGATTGGGCAGCCATCTTCTACGACTCGGCAAGCGAAGGAAAGAAAAAACTAATCGACAGTATCCAATACTCCGCCCTCCGACATAGCCTTGGTCTCATGAGCACAACACCGACAAATGTAATTCTAGACTTAGCAAAAGAAAGCCCCTTTGCAAATCAGACGAGAATACCTCCAGAAGAAATTTATCACAAAAATTATAACCAACACCACACATCCGCTCAACACAAGTATAAAAAAAACACAACAAATGCAAACAACTAGAACACAAGATAAACCCAATCTCATCCACATAATGAATGAACTACAAGACACAACTCGAAACCTTAAAAAATGGACACTTCCAGGCGCGCTAAGCTATAACTTCAAAACAAGGTATTGCACCATCGAAGAGGACGTTAACACGGAAGAAGGCCACAAATGGGAGACAGAAACAAACCCCAACACCCCCCTAAACCAATATCTACGGAAAGAAACACCAAACTATGTGCAGTTTTACACAGATGGGTCAAAATGCAAACCATCTGACAAAACGGGTTTTGCTGTTTACTCACCACAACGTTTTTCCCTAAAAACCAGAATCAGCAAAAAATATAGCGTATACGAAGCAGAAGCTTTTGCGATCTTAAACGCATTGAAGTACATAAAAAAATCCAACATACAGAAAGCAGTAATATTCTCAGACTCCCTCCGCGTCCTTAACAAACTATCATCAATAGACAAACTAGGTAATGATGAGAACATTATATACGACATTAAAGAACTATACATCAAAATAAAACAAAACCGACAAGTCATAAAATTCATTTGGATCCCAAGCCACAAGGGAATCGAGGGGAACGAAAAAGCGGATACACTAGCAAAGGAAAGTACCAACAGACCACAAACCGACATCAAGACCCTTCCATACTCCCACACCCACCGAGAATACAAAGAGGAAATGAAAAACAACACATGGAAATATGTCCAAGAACAGGCCAAACACAAAGGCACATATTATTTCAAAAAATTCGCCGAAAAGACAACAACAGCCTGGTTCCGCAATTCATCCATGAAACGGGACAACATAACCCTCATAAACAGACTTAAGTCCAATCATACACGAGTAAAAGCCCACCTGTTTAAAAAAAATATAATAAATTCCCCTGAATGCCACTGCGGACACCCAACCAAGACTTAAACCATATATTCTTCAATTGCCCCACAAACAGAGACAACTCAGACCAACTGAAAATCAAACTATGGCACATAAATCCAACAGTAAATCACGACATCACTGAATTAATAACCACGGAAGACGAATCCATATTTCGTCTATTATACAGTTTCACACAATACGCAAAAATAGACATATAGAACTACAAACAACGATTCAAAACTGCCGCCAATCCAACCAGCCTCCTCTATCAAGCAATGAACCAAAGATACATAACCTAGTACAGCAGCAACGACATACAATCACACGACGTAAGAGCTGAGTCACCCTAACCCCCACAAACTCGTGCAATTAAAAACTGGCTTTAGTAGAGTAAACCCTTGGGTACTCTGGGGCCAAAAAAAACAACAACAACATATTACCCTAACCTCAAAGTAATTAACTTCAGTAATTTCAATGGTTGATAAGTACGCAATAAAGTTTTGGAGAAATTTCTTTGCAGTTATCTAGTTTTTCTTTGATTTGTCATGTTACAGGTTATTATGGTGGTCACATGTAGGTCATAGAAACTTCATCAAGATGTGTGACGATGTCAACAGAAACCCCTTTGCTGGTTTGTTCTCGACAATTAACGATGCCTTGTCGTTTTCATCACAAAGTCTTGACATCGGTAGCCAGAATAATCTCAATTGCGATGCTGCATTGCCAGAACAGAACTTTAAAGAGAAAAGCAATGATCAAAATTACGAGAATTTAAACTTGGAAGCTGGCAGTCAGGATGAACTGGTTGATAAACTAGTAGCAGATGTCTTTGGATTAAGACTAAGTTTGGATGCAAAGGTTAGCGAACAGCTGGTATATTTGGATTCAAGTTCGATTGAACGTGCAGTATTTGAAAGACTCATGCTGCGCGACCCAGAATCTAAACTTGTTCCTAAAAATGGTAAGAAAGGAGTTGCAATCGACAGTCATGTTGTAGAAACACAGGTCATACCATATCTTTTCGAATGTCATTGCCGTTTGCAAAGGTATAAAACTAATACCAAGTTGGTACAAACAGTAGATGACATTTCTCGCATTATCTTGCGAAATGTTGGAACTACATTGCAAGAACCTGATTTATTTCCTGGTCAAAAAGTAAGTATTTTTCCTTTAGGAAAATAAAAATATTTAATATTATTATATGAAACAAATATAGCATAATTAATTTTTTTTGTAATAGGTTCATGGACAGCTAGTTGAATTATTGATAGAAGACGATTTGAGAAATCAAAAATTATATACATTCATTGCTGGTGTACTAACAGAGTTGGATGCAGAAAATAACGAGGCAGAACAAGATGTTATTGATGCAGCATTTCGACCTGTGCTTGACATAATACACAAGGAGGCAGCTCAGAGCAATTTAATGATTCAAAAGTATTGGTTTAATTCATTGCGGATGTTTTCTTCATTTGAATCTTTGGCCAAGCTTATGATCAATCACAGTACTCCAAAGAATGATTCTGGGAGGTCTTATTCTAATACACTATTTGGTGCATTGCTTAGCTTAAGCTGCCTTCCTAAAAGTGCTCGAGCACCATTCTACTTCTTTCGTAAACCATTACGGGAAGCAAGTACTATAAAGTATTTTTGATTTTTTTAATTGCTGCATCACATTGAAATTAAGTAACCAAAAACCTGTCTTTTTTCCACAGCCACGTGCTGCAGTAGAAGGAAATATCTGGAGTGCACTGGATGCTATCAGTGAATCGCTTCATAAAGTATTCCATTCGTTATTAAAGTGTTCCGATGAAGTACGTCACCTAACTCTACAATGGATTGGTAATTGCCTTCATGCAAATGCTAGTCGAGGAAAGTTATCAAATTTTCATGATGGCAGTGGCATTAGTGGTAGTGCCGTTAATTCTGTATCCGATGGATTCATGTTGAATCTAGGAAGTGTTTTATTGAGATTGTGTCAACCTTTCTGTGGAAGACCAAATGATACTAAAGTTCTGATGATTGATCCCACTTATTGTGCTGCAGAGGTGAGTTCAATAATAAAAAATCTTTAAAATGTAATAGTTCCATATGTATTATAATGCTATGTTTTAGGCAAAGGATGAAAACGAAAGTCGTATTCGTGGCTTGCATATGAAAGGGTTGACATCCCAAACCTGCCTTATTCCTACACCAGAAGGCGAAACAAGACCGGTTGCGGAGTCTTACAAATTCGTCACAGAATGCTTTTATTTAACCCATCGGGCTTTGGATTTAGGATACCGAGTTGTCTTAGAAAAATTCGTAAAGTATGACAAATATTCACGATATTGATTTAAATTTGAAGTGTGATATAAATTGTTTATAATTTTATTTTACATAAAAATACGTTTTGATAGATCAACTCAAGATCTAGGAAGGTTACAACGAGTTTATCATGAAGCGCAAGTTGACGAAAGCCAGACAGTATTGGAAATATTCAGCCAGAGAGTGGAAATGGAGATAACCAAGTAAGCCATTTTTTTAGATAAAAATACTGTGTGCATCTTTTATTCTTAAGTGCATTTATTTTTAACTAAACACAATCTGTATTTATTAATAGTTTTATCATTAACTTTTAGATATCTATCTTTTAGAGCTAGTTTATTAGCTCCAGATATGTTGAATCTCTTGGCCAAGTTCCACGCAGCTACTGCGTGTTGGTTACTGCAAGTTAACTTAAATGATTTCAATGAACAGGAAACTGATCAAAGCAGTTATGTCCCGAAAGAATTGAAACCGGTCACATTCCCTTTACCAGATACCGTTCCAAAAACTTTAAGGTAGACGAAGCAATCATCAATAGTGTATAAATTATTTATGATTGTAAAGAATCATGGGGTTTTTTTCGTGTTTTGCAGGTGCATTCCTGAATTTGTCGTGGAAAACACTGTTGGCTTCTTGTACTTCCTACGTATAATGAATCCTAACGTTTTCGAAGAACATGGGCCTGATTTCCTCAATCCAATTCTTACAGAGGTACAGAACTCGTTAAAAAATTTCTAGAATGTATAATGAATGTGTCCACTGTCATGAAGACATTATCAATGCTGTTATACTTTTTTCTAATTTTATTTACGTTGGTGAAAGCAGATTATAACGCTTATGGAATCTCCGAAACGATTGTACAATCCTCATTTGCGGGCGAGATTGGCTGAAGGATTAGAAGCCTTGCTGCCATTATCCGAAGAAGGAGGAAATCAAATTGCCCCCACTCTTGGAACATTCCATCGGCAACAATTGTTTTTGACCCATCCACATCGGCACCAGGTATAGAGATCTGTCGGAATGAAATTACATGCCAATCTTTATATGCATTATATAAGTCTTCTATTTCTTTAGATTGTATCAAATTTGCTTCAAGTATTTGTAAGTATAGAGATGACAGGGCAGAGTGTGCAATTTGAGCAAAAGTTTAACTACCGGAGGCCTATGTATATTGTCATGAATTATTTGTGGAAGATCCCCGAACATCGAAATCTCTTTAAGTATGTATTATTCTCAATTCTGTATGGACAATATAAACTAACTTATTAATAATTTTAATTGTAAAAATGACAATCATATTAATAGGGAGCTTGCTGAGGAGGCTGAAGCAAATATGGAAGCAGTAGAGCCACCATTATATCTTCGATTCATCAATCTACTAATGAATGATGCTGTATTTCTTCTCGATGAGGCACTTTCAAACATGGCTCAGTTAAAGCAACTGCTTCATGCAAGGTGACATTTCCTTAAACATTTTCAAGTAAAAATCTAATGTTAATATTTATTTTCAATGACATGACAAATTTTCTTTAAATATAACAGGGAAAGCGGTGAATGGAATAACTTACAACGGAATGAACAGACTAGTCATCTTCAGTACATTGCCATGATTGCCAGATTTAATAATATTCTTGGTAGAGAGACGATAAATACCTTGAAAGTACACACAACTGAGATAAAGTCGATATTTTGCCATCCTACAATGGTGGATCGCATTGCTTCAATGCTTAATTACCTGCTGTTGCAATTAGTTGGACCTAACAACAAGAATCTAAAGGTTTGTCATCATCAAAATCCAATTTAGAGTAACGACTAAATTTCTACATTTGTTATGGTAATTTAATTTAACAGATATTCATTTTTGGTTTTAGGTTAAGGACCAAAAGGAATATGACTTCAATCCAGCAAATTTAGTATTAAACATCTGTGAGATATACATTAATCTTAGCTACAGCGATACTTTTACTCTAGCTGTTTCTCAAGATGGTCGATCATACAGACCAGAGTTGTTTAAATTGGCTGAAAATGTGCTGGGTAAGCTCAGTCAATTGGGATACAGTATTGTCTTGATTAGCTATTCTGAATGTTTTCTTTTTCCAGTTCGCATCGGTGGTGTGGGCATACTTGGTGACCTAGATCAGTTCGCTAAAAAGGTAGAACAAGCAGCTAACCAGAAGAGAGAAGAAGATGAAATTCTTAACGGGGCCCCAGAAGAATTTCTTGATCCTATTATGTCAACACTTATGACGGATCCTGTGATCCTACCATCCACCAAGATAACAGTTGATCGCCAAACCATAGCTAGGTTAGTTTAGTTATTTCTGAATAGTTCATAGTGGTGACTTGAAAGATATCAAAATATCTATTTTGTTGATTTCTTATTTATGAAACTGTTTTTACTAGACACCTGCTAAGTGATCAGACTGATCCATTCAATCGGTCCCCACTTACAATGGACATGGTTAAGTCGAACATTGATCTGCGAAATAAAATTCAAGAATGGGTGACACAAAAGAAGCAAGAGAGAATGCCAAACTGTAGTACAGCAGAAACTAATGAGGATGGTGACTAATTCTCTCAATGGTAATACTACCATTTAATTTTATCGTATTTGAAATATATAGAACGTTCCTTTATAGATACGTCTAAAAAGGCCATACACATCGGGTTGATTAAATTTTGTTTACGATAGATAGGAAACTTTGCCGTCACTTTGGAATAAAGTTTTAAAAAGTGGACGTGGAGGAGTCAAGGGGGGGGAAAACATGCGGAGTAAAAGAAAGTGTTCTATCAAATAGAGATGAACACACATAGGTTTGCAAATAGTTTAGATCAAAAATATAATTGTTATTTTAAAGGAGTCATTGAAGCATGTTCTTCAGAGAAAAGGTTTATCCTCCGTTTTGTACATGTGTTAAGGTAAGTCTCTTTAATCAGACGTGTATGTTAACTATACTAATATAGAAGAGTACAGCCAAGTGGGTATTTTAACAGTTCGTGTTCGGAAATGCTTTGAGGTTAGATCTCTTATCCGGTATATACTACAGGGAAGATCCGTCGGTTCTGTACTGTAATTTAACGTACTATGAATACAGTGATTTCTTGCATTGCTTAAAGCCAAACAGTTCGGATTAATTAAAATACAGGGACAATACATCAAGCATTAGAACAATATATGTAACGTGTATAAGAATGTACGTATGTATAAGAATTCTTCTTTTCTATATAATAAAATACTTGATTGCCCAAAGCATTTCTAATTTCTTTGTGCCACGTACACTCAACAAAGAATTTGCTTTTGTATATTGTCAAGTGTCACTTATCGTCAAACCATACAATTACATTTCGTAATTTAAGACTTGTCTGACAACACTCGAAATAGGTCGAACATTTATTTTTGAAGTAGCAGGAACATATCATAATTATAAAACAGATACAAGGTATACAACTCAATATTTTATATTAGACATCTTTCTTGATCTAGACCTTAAATGGGACATAATAATACTTGTACGTTCATATAAGTAACCATTACGAGTATATGAATATTTCCCGTCGTAATTATCGAGCTTGCTTAATCATTTATACATCTTAAAAATACTGCAAGTACAGTCGACGGTAATACCTCCGGCGGTTCCCAATCTTCCTTGATATCGATGTACAAAAAAACGCAGTTATAAAAATATGCTTCGAAAAGATAACGCTTAGCTACCAAAAAAAAAAAAAAAGAAACCATAGTTTGTACCAAATGCAGTTGACTTTTATCGTATAGAAGCCTCTTGCCCAGCTAAGAATGACCTCTACTACCTCCGTTTGACAAAATGCTTTTTGTAATGGAAATTGAAGTGATCCTTAATTATATACAAAATTAGATTTAAATATGGTTCGTTTCAAATTTTTGGGGAATCAACGTTTCTATCAGTTCGTTCATGTCTCTGACGAACCATGATGCTCGAGACTGTACAGCTTCCCTAACAATATTTCCTCCAAATCCTAAAACCAAACAACAAGAACGAAAATTCATTGAAATAACAATAATTAACTTTCTGTTTTAATGTTCATCTACTTCGAGAGAAGGAGTCATATTAGATACCCACCAATGAAAGCATCAGCAGGCGGGCATGCCTCCAAATCGGTAGCTCCATCCCCAACATGAACCAGCGTTTTAAAATTCCTTTTCTCCTTCAAAAGCCGAATCGCTTCCGCCTTTCCACCGGTTTTAGCAGTCGGCTCGTTCTCGTCAAATCCTGCGTACTCTCCTATAAATTAAAGAAAGAAAAAAAAAGTTGAAGTATTTGCCAAGCGAAAGGCACGAGCCATTTAACTGATGTCGACACGTGCGATAAACGAACGTTCGTTCAATTTCATTACGAAATGGCGTTGTCCATATTTATCGCGCCAATTGCATAATCAAATTTTATCAAGCTCATTAACATTAATGCACATTACATAAATCCTTTTCCAGTACTGCATTGCTTCTTCTATTTTTCTAGAGGAATATACCAACCATTGAAGTAAAACTTAAGCCTGTTAGCGCAAATGTTTTCAGCGGGAATGTTCAGTTGGGCAGCTACCGGTGCTATCAGACATCGGAAACCTCCTGATATCAGGAACACCTGCTTCTTCTGGGACTGCAAAGTGTTAACCAGGGTTCTGAAACCATTTTAACGAGTCATGTACCCATATGATTCTTCCTTCTACAGCACATTTATTTATGCCTCTCAAGCAAGACCTACTTGATACCGGGAGTTAGCCTCAGCGGATGGGTATGCAGAAATTCCTTGACTTGCGTCAAGCTAGGTCGAATGATGTTCAGTCTTACGGTCAGCGATTGCTGAAACGTCATGTTGCCCTGCATCGCCTGTTTCGTTCTGAAAACAAGTAGCTCGACATTGGAAGCAGAAATGACAATGCACTCTAGCTCGACATTTGGAGGATCTTTTAAATACTCCCAGGCCCAACAAACCAAGATCTTTTTTTATAATTTTAAACCAGTCATTAAATGTTTTCCTTTCGTACTTACAGCTCGGTGACCTGTTGCCCCTTTCCGCAGAACTTGGCGAGTTCGTCGATCCCTTCGTCTTGAATAACGGTCGAGTCGACGTCGAAGGAAACCGCGTCTGCGGAACTCCAGATCGCCTTCGTCTCCGCCAGGTTCTTCATTGTGCCGGTTTGGAAGGATCTGTCGACCGAAAACGAGAAATAATCAGGAGAGAACGACGCTGGCCCCAATCGTCGCGGAAAGTTCCCAGGAATCGAACGATCCAAATGATCGAGCGCCGGAAACATAGTGAGACCCCCCGGAGAGTGTTCGAATCTTATTAACGCCGACCGTGGGGCCTTCATCCATGTATTAACGCGTACGTTCAAACGCGTACTCTCGCGGAATAAGCACGTGTATACGCAAGCCCGAGTCGATAAAACACTTGACTCTCGTAAACACGTAATCGTCACGTGTTCTTGCAATATCATACTTTATCGGGTAATTTGTAAGCCTATTGCCTCCACGGGCGAATCCATGGTTCGATTCTTTTTCCGAGGAGAGCGATAAAGACGATAAGTGGTAGGTCAGTGAATCGGTATGCAAACGACGTGTCTAAGTGAATCGAAACGAGCGAAAATTTATTATGTTCTTACAAACATTTATGGGTTCTTTCCCTTCGAGCGAATTCACGTTAATTTACACTGTTTGCGGCACCAGGGTATGGAATAAAAAAAAACTCAAAACAATAATTTACATAATCAGAGATACTGGCATCTGATTACGATCTCCTCGAAAATAGAGTGGATTACATTCTTGACTGATAAGATTTTCCAAGCAAATAGTTGCTGCGCGAGATAAGACTCACGGGCGAAGAGTGTACATTCTAACTTTTGATTGGTATCCATTTTAAGTGGTTATTTAATTGTTGAAAGCAGATTTACGTCCCCTGTGAAAGCAGCTTCGAGATATTCGTACACATTTTTCTTTCTATTTTATATAGTTATTCTATGTCCTTCCTTTAGATTGTGCAACATATGTCGATTGACCATGCTTCAAGAATTCACGATCAGCTGAATATCACAGTGTGGATTATTTTCTCTAAAAAATGAATTTGTAAAAATAAGATTGCGAAATCGCTAAGCCTTTCAAAATGGCACCCGCGAAGCGGTCGTAGATCCCCGTGACGTCACGAATGTTTCGATGGTGCAGCCATCTGTTAACCAATCCTGTGACTGTCAAAACGCCTAATAACTAATGCTTGTAATTACAAAAGTGAGTAAATCATGTCGGCAGGGAGAATTTCTAATTGAAGTGACTATTTTAGTATCCGTTGAGTTATGTCATTGATGAATGCAGTATCCTCTTTCACTCATCCGCAGTCGAGCGGCGACTGAACATTGGCAAAAAGTCTAACTAGACGAACACAAGCCGAGTAGAAAGTGAGCGACGAAATTGATTATGCCTATAGCCTGATTACGTATTACCGACATCTCCGAGTTTCTAATCCGTTAATTACGATTTTCTCTAATGAACTTCCTCGTGCGTACGCTCGTCGGAACTTCACTGCACGTTCAATGAATCGTCACTTTACACTCGATTCCGTGCTTCCAGTGATCGATGCGAATGTTTCCCTCCAGAGTCTGTCTTCCGCGGTTGTCCGACTAAATATGTCAATGCTTTCTACTTTTCCCCGTGTGTGTGCTATTCCTTTAGCGGAAAGGATTTGTCGAGTTATTTCTTTTAATGCGACCATTGCCGGCGATCTATTATAGGGATCTAGGTTAGTCGGTAAAGAAAGGTGATACTCGATCGAGCGACACAGTCGCCATCTGTCGGAGACATTGCGAATTACGTAGTCGTGCTCAAGTTCGAACCAGTTCGAACTCAGCGGCAGCAAAAACACGCGGAATGTTGCAAAACGTTAATGAAAAGTTATTTTATAACACTGTATTATGCCAAACATTTTCACCGGATGGGAACTTCCTGGTCGCTGGAAATATCTACGGTGATGTTTCAGTGTTTGAGTATGTGTCTTAGTTTTAAATCGAGTACATTTTGCATACTTGCATTGTTTAAGTGTGTGTATTAATTTTTTATTACTTATTGAATAATTCTTTCCTTACTTTGATATGTCGTCAGAAATGCGTTTGACGTCTGACTTGGCAAAAAAAGAATATTTTTAAGTGATCTACTTTATCATATACGTGGTAATGTGAGGTTACGTTTATGTCTCAGGTTGTCAAAAGTTTTGAGCCCTTATCAGGGAGAAGAAAATGAACTACAAGGTCCAAAGTATTCCTTTACCGCTCATCCTAATCAACACGTGGAATGTATCGCCTCAACCGAGAATTTTCTTTTAACGGGGAGTGCTGGTGAAATCTCAGGATGGGATTGGAAAGTTGTCACATCCAGTAAAGCTCCGAAGATTAAACTTTCCTGGAACATACAATTACCATCTAATAAGTATGTTTTCCTTGGTATTTAATGAAGTCTTTAAAGAAGTAATGTTCTAACATTGAATCCTTCCCTTGCAGGGATAGTTTTGAAAGGACAGATGTAAATTACATGGTCTATTCTAAAGAGACTCATTTACTTTATGCTGGTTGTGGGGACAATAATATTTATGTTATTCATTTGGAAGATGGGAAAATACTAACGACTTTCAGTGGACACGAAGATTATATACATTGTCTTTCGATATCGTAAGTTTTATCTTAATAGATGAACGCATCTAAATGTATAAGATATATCAATTATGTACACTATGTGGCTCAAACCATGAATTCCGTTTTTCTTAGGAGTGATCAACTTGCCTCTGCAAGTGAGGATGGTAGCGTAAGACTATGGGATTTACGCAAAAAAGAAAATACAAATGTATTACGGCCACACCTCATTGGTAAGGTAGCAAGGCCGAAAATTGGCAAATGGATTGGAGCGGTTGATTTTACTGACGACTGGCTGGTATGTATTCAGATGGGAGTATGAAATTGTCAGTTCCTGAGGTTACCGTTTAATTCTCTTTCTTTTTTTTACAGCTCTGCGGTGGTGGGCCTAAATTATCATTGTGGCATATGCGAACTATGGAAGCACCGACAGTATTTAATGTACCTGATCAGGGTATTCATGTAGCTAGCATTTATGAAGAACGTATCATAACTGGTGGTGTAATGCCTCATGTGTATCATCTGTCCTATCAAGATGAAACATTAGCCAAAGTGCCAACATCCAGTAACACAATCTACAGCATCGTTTATCAAGAAACTCCTCAGAAGCTTCTGAGTATTGCAGGCTCTAGTAACAAACTCGACATTTGTACAAACTTTAACTATCGTGAATTAGTGCTCAAGTTTGCCTAAGTTATTAATTTAATCTTACCGTGCTACCTAAAATTGTATACATTTTTATCGCTGACTCTTGGCAACTTCCATTTCTCAAGGCTACACCCACTCAACGAACTGGGGTATGATTAAAAGGAAGCCTTTCATCATAAAATTTAATAAATATTTTAATACATAATACATTTTCTATTACTGCTAATGAAGGGCTTTATACAAATTTACAGTACTTCAACAGAATGTTTATTTCAAAGGTTGCTACCCCACGAGGGTCTGCCATCGAAGAATAGTTTGTTTAAAGTTTACACAGGTTACATTAGAAAGTCTTGCGTCTCCACCCCTAACAATTTAATCTAAAAACTAATTGCGTGTCCTCTGAGAAACCATATATATATAAGATCATTCCTATGTCCAATGAAAAAGGAATTCCTTCCGTGATCATGGAATTTAATAAATATATCAGTATGTAATGCATAAGCTGTAGAGGATTATGTACAAATTTACAAGGTTTCGTCTCTTTCTACAATTCTTGCTCTGCGGAGACTCTATTCTTTCTTATATTTTACTTGCAGAGCATCTTTAAGGGCTTAGGAAAGTCACAGAAACCCGTGTCCAGCGATAACCGCAGGAATGAAGCCTTCCCTACCGTCCCTGGACCGAACCCAAAACCACTCGTTAACGTGATCGCTGAGAAGTGCAACAACGTCGCCCTTGGACACGCTGATAACATTTCCACCACGTCCCTCGTAATCATTCCGGACGACGAGTAATGTATGTCTGGATCCTTTAATCTTGGCATTAGCCGCTGCCCTTAAGTAAAGTCTATCGACGCTGCGTTCTCCGCAGGCAGAAACGGCGTCTCTTGTTGCACGACGTACTCTGGGATTCCGAGCACGAGCTCCGCATTCCGACCTGGTGTCTCTCAACTTTTCAGTGTCCGTCATGTTACCTGTGGATTTCGTACATCGGTCAATGCTCCATACATCGATTGATATTAACGTAGACCATTGAAATAATCATTACCCAGAGGTCTTGGAAAGACATCGGTGGAGTTTTCCCAGCAAGGACCGCGCGTTGGTTGCGGCAATATGCCAAGAGGCAGGCAAGCTGCGTAACCGACGTAACCTTCTTGGCCATGAGGAGTCTGCACGTAAAGCCAGGCTTGATTCTTGAAGACGGCGTTCACGACCGTTCCCAAAGGAAGAGCCACCTCGTCTTGAGTTCCTCCCTGGGTCTGGTACAGTACCGAGGGAAAGGACAACACGACAGGGATATTCGCCGGCCTCTCAATGGACGCCTGAAACAAACGTGGAATTGATATCCTACCCTGATCACTTTTGGTCCTACCATCGCTCGAAACCCCAACGATTACCTTTGTCAGAAATGAATCGAGGTCGGCGATCTCGTATCCGAATCTTGACGGAGGTCTAGGCTTATGGGGTCTCTTAGGCCGACGATGTCTGTGTTTCTCGCGACCGTTCGGGGTCGAAGGGGAATCTCTGGAAACCAGGGTCGGTTCCGAGACTGCCCTCTTCACTTTCTCCTTTTCCTTGAGGTCTTTGCCCGGAATCTCGTTTCGTGGACTCTTCTCTAGAGAAGGGTCCAGCACCGTTTCGTTGGGCCTGTCCTTGTCGAGCGGCTGCAAATGATAAACCTTGGTAATTCATAATTCGCATATTTAGAGAATTAAATTACCCTAAAGAGCCTCGGTCACCTTGTCCAATTTGTCGACCTTTTCACATCTGTGCACCACGTTCTTCTCGACCTTCTCGGACCTGCCGATGTTCTCCTTGCCCTTGTCCTTGTCCTTGACGCTCTTGACGCATTTCCTCGACGATCTCTCTTTGCCTTCCCTGACCAGGACATCCCCGCGGACGTCGGAGTCAATGTTAAGGTTGGATTCGGCGTTACCGTTGATCGTCGACCGGTGGTGGTGCTGGTGGCCTCGGAGAACCCACGTCAAGGAGATCTTGGGGCGCAAGAGATTGCTGGGACGTTGACCCATGCTCTTCGGCGAGCCGAAAGAAGCCGGAGGCGTCGTCGACGTCGGCGACCCCGGAGGACTCGGTGTTGTCTCGACCGTCACAATTGGCAGCGCCAATTGACAGTCCGCCACCAGGTCCACCGTCTGCACCGCACGCCCATTTTCCTGGAAGTCGAAATAATGCCCGTTACTATAACATCATTTTCAACGTTACTTTTAAGGCGCAGCGAAAATTCCGTTAAAAAGGTCTTGTTTATGAAACTTTTCTCCGAACTGGGTGTACCGAATCGTTTCAAACTTTACACTATGAACACGGAAGCTATAAGGAAGGTCCTGACCCTCCTTAGATTTCAATTTTGTAATACTTTTATAAACGTTGAAAAAATGTATGAGAAATGGGTGTTGGGATCTTCTTTATAGCTTCTATATTAACGGTGTGAAATTTGAAACGAACTTAACACTTATGTACTTACACGCAAGTACGTCCGTTTCAATGAAATCATTAAGTAGTATAAGGAGACATAACGCGTATAGTCGATTCCACTGAAAGTAATCCCATTATAGGGAGCCAGGATCTCAGATTTTCGCTGATCCAACGATGCGAGCGCTACTTACGGAAAATGAGGGAACTCCAATCCTACGTGACCAAAACATTCTCCCACCGAAGTAAATGACTTAAAGTGCTTTTAGCTTTGCAATTAAGGTAAAAGCGAAACGATAATTCGCGGATAATATACAGAATATGACGTTTTTAACGCGATAAAGACTAGCGGACTCGCCAGTAGACATTAATTTTTAAATGCAAAATTTCATCGAGGAGGCGCTCTCGGCACTAGAGCGGAAAACATCTGAAGATCTTGGACCCCTAAAGTGGAGAAGATTTCAATATATGATGTTGTATCTCCTTATACCTCTTCGTGGTTGAAATGACGCCGGGGTGACCTTAGGTTTTAACCCTTAACCAAAGTCGTCGAATTATAAGCCATAAGGATTACACGTATCATTGGGCCCATGGAACCCCACGTCGGTAAAGGGTTAAACGCGAAGCGGCTGGCGTTAACGCAACGATCTTATTATTACTCTTCATTTTTCCCATCTCCCTTCGCCGGGGCTTTAATCAATCGACCGTAAAAAAGGTCCGCGGACATTTTGTCAACAGGTGGGAAGTACTTTCGAATTGCGCAAACCCTCGCGTTAATTAACGAACACCAAGAATGGTCGGAACGTGGGCTTACCCGAGGCGGCTTCGACGCTCAAGTTGACATATTAGACGTTAACGGTAAGCGATGCGAAGGGTATTTTTTTTTTTTCCGAGAACGTTCTTTAGGAAGCATCCGAAGAGAACGCGGCTTATGGCATGGGTATGCCGAAGAGACAAGACGGAACGCAACGACCACGGAGATTTCTACGCTTAGAAATTAATGTTTGTCTCTGACGAAAAGCCTGTTACGGAAAGGACCACCTAGAAACGAATCCACCATTTTCATCCCGGCATTGTATACGAGAGTCCCTGCACGATTTGCGTCTTCCGAGGCGCCGCCATATTGGAAAATGGCGGCGTCTCGCATACAGGTATCACCACGTATTAATTGTGTTTTCATAAAATTATGTCGAGTTCGCAATGGGAGAATGAAACCTTAGTATGTACACACTTTTACTTTATCTCTTTTACATTTACTTCGTACACGGCGGTGTATTTTAATTGGTTTGTTAGCAAATACGGCCGCGTTTTTGGATGTGTAACATGGTCCGCCATCTTGTATACTTTCCATCATGTATCGCAACGGGATTCCATCGTGAGTCCGAATTCATGTCCAGAGCGAAAGAAACGTTATCGTTCGCACGTTGAGCCCCTTTTTGCTTTCGGTGCGGGATGCGTGCAAACAGACCCTAAATCGAGGATATTAATCCATGGTTGGCGTTCGATTAAGAGAGAACCCCGCGCGTTGAAACGTTCCCGAATGGCTCGGGAGAGGGTAGGGATAGGAAATTTACGGCTGTCACTCGGCGTAAATACTCCGTGACACGGGGGAAATTTACGAACGGCCACCGCCGGCTCGTAAAATTCTCACTCCTCTTCTTCCTTCACCGAGCGAATCCTCGAGGTTGCCCTCAAATTTCTCCGTACCTCGACCGATCGAGAAGATTCAACATTTTCGTGTACCGACGAACGTGTCCAATCGTATGGGAAACACACGAGAGGCTTACCAGATTAACAAAGATTCGAAAGAATTTCGTCGAAGAGAATCCCGAGTCGAAATTTCAACCCCACTCTGAACCCGGGTGATCTAAATGAGCCCTCATTAGGTTCCATATTTCATTTGTTACATCTTCTTACAGTCAATTTAGCAGGAATGAAGTCCTACTTTGGGCCTACAAGGAGAATAAATGAAAATGTCTGCCACTTTTAAGTAGAATCTTACAAGGAAGGTATCCCAGGTCGATCTCTCCGATTTGATATCTTTTATAATATGTTATAGTAGACTAAAAACTAAGCGACACGTATTTTTTTTTATCTGCCATTAAACACTTTAAGGGGGTGAAGCCACTATCGAAAGTAAGGCACGTCAAGGGGCGATTTGGTAGTTTCACCGACAAGAACATAATATTTTCTAACCAATCCACCTGGAAAAGCTTTCTCATAACGAGAAATGAAGAATATAATTTTCATAATTAAAAATGAAAAAAATTAAGGGGTGAGCCCCCCTCACAGGCCCTACTTTGGATGGTGGTTTCACCCCTTTAAAGTGTTTAATGGCAGATAAAAAAGAAAATACGTGTCGCTTAGTTTGTAGTCTACTATAACATATTATAAAAGAAATCAAACCTGGGATACCTTCCTTGTTAGTAGTGTAGAAGTTACCTGATATCGTATTTTCGCAAAATCTATTTAATCCCTACAAATGGAGGCTCTAAGTAGGATCGAAATTTCGCCTCGGGAATTGTCGAGGCTGCTTTGAAAGTTGCCTTCAAAGTCTTCTGTCTCTCGATCGATCGCGAAGGGCGAGAATTTTCGAGTAGTTTCCCTTGAACCGAGGAACGTTCCGAAGCGTATGCGAAACAGAAAAGAGGAGGCTACCGGAATAACAAAGATCCGAAAGAGTGCCTTCTTCGAGCGAGCCCTCTTGCTCCATCGGTAAAAAGGCGCAGTCCCTGCCGGCCCTTCGTCGGTATTCTTAGACGGTAACGAGCGTTCCTGCGTTTACGCCGTTCGCGTTCGCCCGCTCCGGCTCGTATCCCTCCGTTAACGTTCGAAAAGCGGCCATAACCCGACGGAACGTACATTCCGTCGAAAGCGGCACACGCGCCATTTGCAACAACTCGTAAAGCCTCCCCACTCAAGGACGCGCGTAAGCTCTGCCGCACCGACCGTTCCACTTTTCTGACCCTTTCCGCCTTATTTTGCCCTCTTCGACTCGGCACGGCCGTAGATTCGAAGAAAAGCGCACTTACGATCTAGACGGTACGAGGTTTCCGTGAAATACAGACGCCAGACGGCCATTAGGAACGAATTCACGGAAGAGACGGTAGTACCGGCCGTTTGCATTCGGAATATCGATTTATCGACCCTAGGACGCGTGGAGTCGATTTCGAGTTCATGAATTAAGGTGATACGAAAGGGTCATTCTATATATATGAAATGTCAAAATATCTTATAAAGCTTTTCTCCAAACTGAGTGATTCGAATCATTTGAAACTTCAACACGTGATTAGAAAGGCCCCAAGGAAGAACGCGATGCTCGTGAAACTTCAATTAAAAAACATTTTTTTTTATTTATCCTAGACTAGAACCAAGGACACGTATTTTTTTGTTTTCCGAAACATGAAATTTCATGAGCATCGAGTTTTTCCTTAGGGCCTCAATAATCACCTGCTGCTTTCATATCGCCTTAAGGTGACGCGAAAGCAACCTCTGAGACGTTAGATTATTTATAACACGTTTCTACGAACTGGATGCAACGAATTATTATGACAGTTTATTACGCGAATAAGGAGGCTCGAAGAAAGGTCTGGACCCCTCATGGAATGGCATTAAAAAAGCTTTTTATTCATTTAGAATTAAGATGGCGACGTCAACCTGCAGGTTTAATACTTCACCCCTATTTAAAGCTTAGAATCGAGAAGAATTCTAGGACCTAGGCATGATAATTTGGAATGCTATATTAATTGAATATTACAGATTCTTGTGGGAAATATAACAGTTTTATAAACGCGTGCAGTGAAATTCTCAGTTAAGTAACGTGAGTAACGTGTTGAGAAAGTGCTTTTAGATCCATCGTTTATAAAATGGCGTTACCGTTGAAAGGGGGGACTAGAGATTGTTTCATATGGTACAACGGTTAGAAGAATTTTTTTATCGACGCCGATTAAACCAAACATGGACGATGCGATCCTGGACGATGTAAGTACCCTGGTAAATCGATCCCACAGCTGTTACATTTTTTACCTTGTAGGAGACTCCGTCTTCGTCCAACGCAGGATCGGAGCTCGTTGTGGAGAGGCTTCCAACTTCCGGTCCCGGTTCCCGGAAATCGATTTCGCTGCTCCACGAATGACGTCTTTTTAGATCTCCTGAAAATCAAAAAAGGGAATTAAGCGGCAGCGAATGACGCTTAGGAAGAGGACTTGCAGTCGTCAGGAAGGCATGTACGAGTTATGCGAGCAATAATCAAAATAGTAAGGCAATCGAAAGGTGCGCATGATTGGTCCTCTTGAGCTTATTGGCCCCTATGACGGCAGGTGGATTTAATTGCAATCAGCAGCCTTAATCGATTAAGGTGCCCAGTCGAGCGAGACCGATAGAGACTCTTCAAATTGCCATTCAACGGAAATACCATCGAAGCCGAAGAAGCTAGGAGTTAATAATAAATTACGCCAGGATGTACCTAGATACGTGCAGCGAATGCGAGGATATACGCATAATTATCAAGTGAACATCCTGGTTCCCGCGGTACATCGTATCAACCTCCCTGTTAAAAAGTACCCATTCGAAGTACGGCGCACATATCGAAGTATCTTCAAGATAGAATATTCCGAAATTTCGAAATCTCTTGTATACTAACTATCTCTTATATGCACATTTACAAATGTATGTACTTAAGAGAAGCGCGCAGTAATGTGCATCCCAACGTTGTACCGATTTCATTTAGCTTACCGGCCTATCAAAAATTTGGAATACTCTCGTATGATTTCTCCCTTAAAAGTATTCTTCAAAGTGTAGTACACATTTCGGGCGTCACTATTTCCATTTTTTAACGTAAATCTGCATTTTAAAGCGTCAAAATTTAATCTTTACATTAAGAAGAACCTCCGTCACTTGCCGGGACGTTTATATACCTTATATAGTGATTCTTCAAGATCGAGTTTAATGCATCACATTTTATTCGGTGCTCGAAATCACAGAAGGCGTTATCGCGAGTGCCGGTAAAGGCGAGAAGAGAATGAGCGTGCGTTAAGAAGAAGAAAGGAAAGTGGAAACGGGGAAGACGCGCTTCTAAGATGCGGCAACAAATCCTTGCGATAGCGAACCTCCTTGGCGGTATACTTGGCGTAATAACATTGTGCACACCCCGGCACGAAGTAACATTTCGCGGACTACTCCGCACTCCCATAAAACGTAATGAATACCAATTTGACACGCGTTCTCCAGGAGTTACGGGCACGTAGCTCAAACTTCCTGCCAAGCTGCCCCAACGATATCGACCGCACGCGTGTACATCTGCCGAGTGTTCGCATCTACACCTACGTATATGTACATTGGCGGACACAAGTGCCTTCCCTGCAGAACAGGCCCCGCCAGGGTGTGGGCGAAAAAGCATTCACGTCCTACACTGTACCGAGAGTACTTGCGAGCACGTGCGCGTACACGCGTACCTTCCTTGAACGGGACAATGAGGACTCTTAAGTCCGAATTCATAGAAGTCCCTCCTTTGGTCTCGACCTAAGGTGGTGCAGGAGCGCAGGTGCTAGCCCCGAGTCATCGAAAAGAATATCAATTGGCTTCTCTCTCCGTCTCTTCTTTTCGGAAAAGACATTCCCTCCGACGCGTCGGTCAAGGATAAGAGGACGTCGGCCGACTCGAAACGAGGGATCTTCGTTTATCATTTATTCTCTTCCTGTCGTTAACGGTGATCTCAGGAAACCCGGTAGAGTTTCGCGTCAAATTACTAACGCGTACACGTGTATGTGCGCATAAGCGTACTCAGGCCTCCACCCATCCTTCATTTTCAACGTTAAGGGAATCTGAAAGCAGCACCTCAGGGATCGATCGTTAAGCCTTCCTCCGAACTGGGTGTACCGAATCGTTTCAGACTTTACAACGGGAATATAGAGGCTATAAGGAAGGTCCTGACGGCCATATAATTTGATTTTATATAAAAAAATTTTTTAAATATCCATAAACAAATTTAAAAAAAGAACTTTCACGGACGTCAGGACCTTCTGTATACCCTACATATTCACGTTGCGAAGCTTGAAACGATTCGGTACACCCAGTTCGGCGAAAAATTTCATAAACGATACCTCTTAGACGCCTCTTTCGCATCACCTTAAAGGATGTCTTATATCCGTACTCCTTAAACGACCGAAAGACACCCTTCGACCCTAAAAGTACGAGTACGAGTACTTAACTGCAAGTTTGACATCCCCAAATCTATAGATAATATCTTAGCTGTCAAAGTTTACAGTGCACTCCTTGGGATAATTAGTAGACTGCAGTCTCTGATATTTTTTTTTTTTCGATTTTCTGTACTAGTTCATATTACCTCGTCTCACTTTTATTCACGAGTCCGACGATTGGGGGTCCGCTTGCCGACGGTGACGCTCTCGACGGTTCACCGATCATCCTCGCGACGAGATGACATTTTCCTCGAGATCGAAACCCCGGAGCAGGAGGAGACTCTTTCTTCCGATTCGTCGGAGTCTCGTTTTTCATTGGCGAGGTCGAGCGGACCGATCATCCTTCACAAGCCGGACAAATCGCTGGCATAGACTCACGCTTCACCGCGCGACAGCTCCGGTGACAGTGACAGTGACAGCAGCGGCTTTTGGCATTCGAGAAGTGCGAGAAACGCCAGAGAGGAAGAGCGACGGAGACACGCAACGACCGACACGTGCTCGACTTCCCGTGTCGTCTCGCTCGGTTGGACTTTGCGGACTTTTAACTTTTAACCCGTCCAACCAACCGCCTCCGTTTCTTTGCTCGCTTCTCTATCCCGAAGGAATTGCCGTACCTCGTTACCTCTATTCCCCGTGAATCGTATGACAGAAATTGAGAACTTTTAATTTCAAACCGGCCCAATCAATCGCCTCGGTCCTCACAAAAGAATTGACGCATTCTAGGCGTGTTGTATCAGCGTTCTTTGTTGACTGTTTATTTTATTGGACTTCGATGACTGAAATTCAGCAGTTTTATTTATACCGGCCTATAGATTTATTTATATTTAAACCGACCCCAATCAATTGCCTCCGTTTCCTCGGTCGCTTCTTCTGCGTTTTTGATAAATGTCTCTCGTTAACGCTTTATTTTATTGGACTGCGACGTCTGAAATTGCGGACTTTTAATTTTACCGCCCAATCGATCGCTTCTTCTTAACGAATTGACGTTATCTGTGCGTTTTTGGATCAACGTCTCTCGTTAGGGCTTTATTTTAGTGGACTTCGACGACGGAAATTGCAGACTTTTAACTTTTGGTCGGGCAAAGCAACCGCCTCAGTTTCCTCGCTCGCCTCTCAAATAAGATCGACGTACACCAGGCGTTTCCGATCAACGTCTCTCGTTAACTTTTTACTCTATCAACCTCTATGCCTGAAAATTCTCTGCGGCAAGGGACAAATCGTTGAAGGTGTATCTCCTTCTCGGAAAGCTCACGATTCGAGGATACTTTAGACCGTGGCAAATCACGTAATGCTGTTGGAGTTGTGGAACCGACAGCTCAAAGTCTTTCTCTTCCTCCGTCGATTCATTTGTCGTCGATAGGAAAAATCGGTGAGTTTTGCTGCTTCGACCTGCAATTGCACGGATTACACTTTTAGGCGTAACGAGCCACGTGGCGGCGTTTGGTTAGACGGATCGACGACACCGATTCCTCTTCTTCGTTCTCCGGGGTGATCGGCATCATCTCCGACGCCTCTCGAGTTCAATCTTGAGGTTTTCGGTGCTCCGGCTCTCCGGGAGATCGTTCACGATGTTTTTAAAGTGGTTGATGAGGAGGTGGGTGGTTTCGACCCAGGACGCGAAATCGGCAGGGAGGCACGACCGGTTGACAGGTGCAGCAGCGACTAGACTAAAGTGGACCAAAGTGAGCTAAAGGTCCGAGTGGTCTTGGCGGCGGGACTCTAGACAAGGGAGGAGAGAGGCACCGAGCTCGACGATTGGTCCATGGATTCCCGCGCAAATGGCTGGCCAATCGCAATTGGCCGACTCGGTAATCGCTAGGTACAGAGGGAACGAGTCCGACCGAACGGTGGGGAGACCGCGTGCTTCTCTCAACCTTGCTCAAGGAATAATTGCCCGGCCCTTGGACTCTTTGCTCACCCGGTGCGGTATGCCGACACCGCCACGTACGACCAAATTCTACGCTCGAAAATTCGGAAGAAATTTCCCTCACGTTTCCAAAAAGGCAGGAAAGATGTCGCGCCAGTGGGAACGTTGACACGCCCCGCACGTTTCGCGCATCCTCGTTTCCGTCGTAGGTTCCTGACCCCTCGCTCGGCCGAATTCCTCCCTCGATCGGCGGAGCCCGTTTTTGAGAAAGGGACAGGGAAGAAGCCGTATTCGAGGGAAATAAGTACACTTTGGTGACGACGGTGGAGAATTCGAGAGACTATATCAGGACCACGGAGGATTTCCATAGGTCGTGGATACCTCGCGATGCCTCACGGTCTTGGGCCTGGGCGGACGTGGGACGGGCCCAGAGAGAAGGAACGAGAGGAGGGCCCAGCGACCTCCGACCTCTCTGGGAACCCGGGGGAAGAAGGGCCCCGAGGCCCCGGGGCCCCGGGACCTCGGGAATCCGGCCCACCCGGCCAAAATCCGACGATCCCACGGAGCCCCATCGAGGCTCGCAACTCGTTTTCGCCAGGATAGTCTGGATCTTTCCTGGACGCGATCGTCGGATTGTTCGTTGATTTTTTTGGAAGAATAGGAGATTTTTTTTAAAATCGCAGGAAAAGCGCGGGCGACTCTTTCGGATAATTCGGCCCAACCGGCAAAAATCTGACGATCCCACGGGGCCCCATCGAGGCTTGCAACTCGTTTTTGCCAGGATAGTCTGGATCTTTCCTGGATGCGATCGTCAGATTGTTCGTTGATTTTTTCTAAGAATAGATTTTTTGGAAAATCGCAGGAAATGCGCGGGCGACACTTTCGGATAATTCGGCCCAACCGGCCAAAATCTGACGATCCCATGGGGTCCCATCGAGGCTCGCAACTCGTTTTCGCCAGGATAGTCTGGATCTTTCTTGGACACGATCGTCGGATTGTTCGTTGATTTTTTGGAAGAATAGGAGATTTTTTTGAAAATCGCAGGAAAAGCGGGGGCGACACTTTCGGATAATTCGGCCCAACCGGT